TTCTTTGGTGTGTCCCTGGACGATTGTTCGTAGCTGGGAACACCTTCCTTTCTCTCCTCTCCCTTTCTCTCCCTCTCTCTTTCTTTCCTTCTCTCTTTCCTCTCTTCACCCTCTTCCTGGATGCTTTCGTCATAGCTGGGAGCCCTTCCTTTTTGGTGTGTCCTTGGACGCTTGTGTCGTAGCTGGGAGCACCTTTGTTTCCTTCTTTCTTTCCCTCTCTTTTTCTTCCTCCCCCTCCCCCCTCTTTCCTCGCGCGCGGCGTGTTTACGAGCAAACTAGGCTTCTGCAACAGGTTTTTCTAATGAGGTTTGGACTTTCATAGGCCCCCACAGACGTTTTTCCTTCTTTTCTTTCATGTCTTTCTGTCTTCATGTCTCTTCATCCTCATCCTTTCTTTTTCTTGCGCGTACTATCGCCCGGACCTTAGTTTGCACACATACACGCACGCGTACTCTACTTACAACGAGGTTCAGGTGGCCCAAGTTCGTTACAATGAGGTTTGGTTCATCGGTTGTCCCTCTTCACTTGGTTCTTCTCCGTCGGCAACCACACACACCTTTGTCTGTCTCGTCCTTTTCATTTTCATCTGTCCCTTACCTTTTGCGTGCGCGCGTGCCTTGCCTCCTTTCCGGGCAGGATAGATTCGGGGAGGCGTGTGTGTGAAACCCTTGGAATCAAAGGGAACCTTTAGGTTTGGAACAGGGGGCGTGACGGTCGATTTCCTAGTCACGCCAATGAAGCTATGGAAATCGACTGGATGGAAGTTTGGGCGCAAACTTCCGTACCTGTTCCCCTATTTAGGAAAACAGGAGGAAATGGTACTCGACGCACTTGTGTGTCGGTGCCTTTCCTTCTGTTTTCCTCTAGACTACTCTACAGGTTTGCAGGTAGGCCTCCCAACTTTGTAAAGGGGTTCTTTAACCTGAACTTTGGCCTCCACCCACTAGATTGGCCCCCAACTTTGCTGTCTTGTGTTTCTTGTGCTTTTTGTGCTTCTTGTCAGCAACCTCCTAGCGTGGGCCCCCAACCTGCTTTCGACGGCCTCCAACCTAAGAGCGAAGACCCCCAGCTTTGACGGCTTGCAGTTTTGGTTCTTGTCACCAACTTACTAGCGATGGCAACCTAAGTGAGAGGACCTCCAACTTTGACTGTTTTGACTGTTTCGCTGTCTTGTTTTTTGTCACCAACTTACTAGCGATGGCCTCTCAACCTGTTTTCGATGGCCTCTAACCTAAGAGCGATGGCCTCCAACTTTTGCGCCTCGTTTTGCGCAGGCTCCTTTTTTAACCTAGGCCGGCGTGTGGCGCCGCTATCAGTCCGCACGCGTGTCCATAAGTGTGTGTATGTGTCTCTCTCTGTATGTCTCTCTGACGTGCAGGAACACCTTTTGCCTGCAAGTTCTTGACCTCTCGCAAGCCACCGACATCTGGGTAGCGCTGCGTCCACGCCTCAAACAACTTTCGCAGTTTGTGCGATGTCGCGAACCAAAATCGGACCTTGACCAAAATGTTTCGCGTGTTTCACACTTGACGACCGATTCGCAATAACGGGAAACATTCCACTGTTCCAGTAGCGTAAGTAGCGTCGTTGCTTCTAGTAGCGATGCCCTAGTAGCGTCCTTTTTCTCCTAGTAGCGATGCCAGGAGCCCCTAGTAGCGCCCTTGCTCCTAGTAGTAAGCGCCAACCTCTTGGTGTCTTTCTCGCTGTGTCAGCGCAACGCTGAAGAGGTCCGCCGCGCACTAGTCGCAAACCACATAATACCGCCAATCATTCTTCTCACCAGCGACGCGCCATCTTGAAGGACACTCTTGTGGGGCACTCTTGTGGGTCACCCTTGTAGGAAGCTCTTGTGGGGCACTCTTGTGATGTCACATCGTACCACTCATCGTCCCGCTCACCAGCGACACGCCGCGTTTACGCCAGCATGTTTCGCGCTCCCCCGTGGCACGGCGCCGCGCAAACGCACTTCCAACCAAGGCCCCGCAAACCCCAATGGCACTGCGACATCACGAACGCACTTTGGCCACACGGTCTGTCCACACACTAGAAGCACACATATCACATGAAACCGCCAATGATCCCGCTCACCAGCCACACGCCGCGTTTACGCCAGAATGTTTTGCGCTCCCTGGTGGCGCGGCGCGACGCAAACACACTTCCCACAAAAGCCGCGCAAATCCCAATGGCGCTGCGAAATGTAGGGCGTACTTTCGCCACACTTCTCGCTCCAGCTCTGCAAGGCCCTTTCCCGCACTACTTTTGTACTACAAACTGGCCACTTCTGAGTCCAGCTCCAAATCCTCTTTCCCGTACTACTTTTGTACTACTAAATGGCCACTTCTGAGTCCAGCTCCAAAAAGCTCTTTCCCGTACTACATTTGTACTTCAAACTGGCCACTTCTGACTCCAGCTCCGAAAAGCTCTTTCCCGTACTACATTTGTACTACAAAGCTCCGAAAAGCTTCTTCCCGTCCTACATTTGCACTACGAACTGGCCAGGTCTGAGTCCAAAGTCTCCAAAACGAGCGTTTCGTACGAGACTTCCTTCAAAAGTGAAGCGGACAGTCTCCAGAACCAGCTTTTCGTACGAGACGTCCTCCAAAAGTGCAGCGTCAAGTCTCCAAAACGAGCGTTTCGTAAGAGACTTCCTCCACATGAAAAGCGGCAAGTCTCTGAAACGCACTCTCGCCTGCATTTCGCGCGCTCGACACGCACGATCTCCGCTACAGAGAATTTATAAAGTGGGGGAATGTTTTTCAGTAGGATATCTCCCGTGAAAGTTTTCATACTCACACTTGCATACTGACACGTGCATGCTTACACTGGGATACTTACACTTGCATACTTGCACTTGAATGCTTTCACTCTTACACTGGGATACTTACACTTGCATACTTTCACTTGCAAACTTTCACTTGGATACTT